GGGGGGGGATGGAGTAGGGAACCAGAGTTAGCAATCTAGGAATCCACAGCAACTTCCAACAGTCTTAAATGTTTACTATTTTGGTCACATTGATATGAACACGTGCAACTCTGGATGACTAACACTTCATTCTTTGAAGTAAGAGGGTTTTTGTAATGTTTTTTTCATGGTTAGTTTATTTTAGAGAGAACTCAAAAATGTGAGCCATCTGAAAAGATACTCCAGATGCCCAATTTTATTTAACAGTTCAAGTTCAAAAGAGCAGACTACCTTTAAATGTCTGTTTCTTTCAAGTTAACTGTTGACTCTTGAGCAACACGGATTGTACGCGAGTTCACTTAAATGTGGATTTTTTACAGAACTGTAAATGTATTTTCTCTTACGATTTTCTTAGTAACATGTCCTTTTGTCAGCTTACTTTATTGTAAGAATACAGTATATCATACATACAACATAAAAAACACGTGTTAATCGACGATCTTATTGGTAAGATTTCTGTCAACCATTAAGTTCTGGGGAGGAGTCAACAGTTATATGTGGATTTTTGACTGCACTCCTAACCCCCACATCGTGCATTGTGCAAGGGCCATCTGTATTTATAAACACTGCTGGTATGCCCTGGGAACTACAGAATAGTAAAGGTTAACATTCGAGACAGCCTCTGGGTAAACATCTTTCAGAAAGTCTTTCAGCTAATCTAGGAAAACACTGCCAGGAACCACGCACTCTCAGTGGCTTCAACGCCTCTGACAATCTGACTCTCCCCCTCCATGATTCTCTAATCCCACCCTTCCCTCAACTCTACTCTTGCCAAGCTCAATCCCATCTAGACTTTTGCTCACCCTGTTCCTCCTTTTGGGGAAAATATTCCTACTCCTCACTCTAAATTCTATGATTACAACTAACAGAGATGAGCAATATATGAAAACCAAGGCCTACGCGGTTACTGTTCTCAAGTTTTCTGATTGCAAATTTAGTGTTTAGCAGAAACACAACTAAAAACCACACGAATGTTTATTTAATTAAAAGGTGCATGAATCCAAAGTATGATATAGCAAAAAAGCAAAACTGAAAGCTTAGTATCCTTTGAAAGGGAAATAACCCCATTCCTCTATTTTAGGAACTGTGGTTAGTTCTGGGTACCACATTTGATGAAAGACATGACCTAAGTCCGGTGGACAACTGGGGTGAAGAGGGGATTGAGATGGGAAACCCTGAAGAAAATGAATGCTTAGCCAGAAGAACTAAAGTTTATGCATGACATGGGTAGACAACTACTTCCAAATACTTGAAGGGCTATCTTATTTGGTTAAGTAGTCATATTTGTTCTTGTCTTCAAAAGGGAAATGGGAAGGAAATTTTGGTCCACTATGAGGAAGAACTTTCTAGTAGGCAGACTTCCTGAAGTGAGACTGGACAGCCTGAGGGAGAGCCTGACTGCTGCTTTCTGGAGGTGTAAATGCAGAAACTGAACAATCATTTCATGGGGACACCGCAGAAGACATCCAACAATGAGGCCTGGACACTGAGGTCCTGGCAACTCAGATCTGACACGAACAACAACATCAAAAGGCACTGAGGCAAACAGAGGGCACGGAAATTTGTCCTTTCCATAAAACCAACTGCAACACTCTCCATACATATGCTCATTACAGTGTTAGTACTTTAAGAAGGATAATCGAAAAGCCGTTTTATTCCCCACTCTGAGTTAAATTTTTTTTTTTCTCTGATATTTCTTTTGGTCCCAGCCTGATTTTTTTAAGACCCTGTTCCTGTGTGAGCACTGCTACTCTGAAGTATTCTTAAATTAAGAATAACAATTAAGCCATCCTTGGCTTCTTTTGCATGGAGATCAGAAGAGGCCTGTAATTCCACAACCACTCCTGCTAATCTGCATTTAAAGGCAGAGACACGGGCACAAATGAAGGCATGGTACCTGATGTCGTCGCCCTCCCCCAGCACTCATCACAGAAGAGACACATGACCCGACAGCATGAGAGGCTATCCTACCGCTTTCCACAACTAACGAGAAAGTTCTCTCTAGAAGTTCACCCCTTTAGTAAAGGGGTTGTTTCCGCTGAGTAATGAATAAAAGACACTGTTTTCACATGCCTTATGCAGGATGCATGTCATACACGGAGTCAGGGTTCTTTACTCACAAGCTGAAATCGATGACCAAAGCTCAGCCATTCTTTTTCCACAAGGACTTCAAAGCCTCGGATGCTCCGATAGTACCCATCGAGCATGAGCATGGCAAGGGAAGTCAGCTGAGCTGTGCGGTCCCAGCCGTCACTGCAATGCACTATCACAGATGTCTTCCCGGACTCTACCTTGTCAGCAATCCGGAGAGCCCCCGCAAGAATGAGCTGCCAAACAGATTTTTAAGTGAAATTTTTAAAAAATTAAGTGCTTCCTTCTTCAAAATTAACTAACACAGTTTTACTACAGATGACTGTCTCAATAACACATGAAGAAAAAAACATCAGTCCCTTCCTAAAAAGAATTCTTTTTTTTTTTTTTTTTTTTTTTTTTTTTTTTTTTAAAGTTTGTTTTTATTTTTTTATTAGAGAGTGTGTGAGGGAGAAGGAACACAAGCAGGGGGAGTGAGAGAGGGAGAAGCAGGCTCCCCGCCGAGCAGGGAGCCCGATGCGGGGCTCGACCCCAGGACTCCGGGATCATGACCCGAGCCGAAGGCAGACACTTAAGGACTGAGCCACCCAGGCACCCCACCTAAAAAGAATTCTTGTAAGTGGCAGAAGATCTATAATATTTTGCCTTTGTACCTAGAAAAATCTCATAAATCCAGGCTCCTATTGATCTGAACAATGAAAGAGTCAAATGATGGGTATCTCTGGGTTCTGTACAAATCAACAGTATGAGTGAGAGAAAAGAAGGATTAAGTTTTAAAGAGAGCTGTTTCTAAGAATCTTCAAATATTCCAAGATCATCTATTTAAATAAAAAATAATATGCCAAATGAAGTCATACACATTAAACAATCCCTACTTAACCAAAACAGAATAAATATGAAAGCAATAAAATTGGATCTCTCTTACTCTATAGCTTCTATAGCATTTATTTTACTGTTTTTATATATGTCACATAGCTTACAGCAAGCACAGTACAGAACTTTAAAGCTACTTTTCTGTTATCAGTATGAATGACAAATTCTCATCAGATCAATATATTACTATGTCAACTTAACTGGTATTTGAAATAATTTCAGTTATTTTTTTAAATATGCAGACAGTGCAAAGTATCTTTTCTGAAGTTGATCTTGAGTTAAAACTAGACAGAATTAGATATAACCAAATAAGAAACACAAAAGTATAATATTCTTTAAAATGAATAATACAGTCCCATTCTTCTCTGCAATGGCTAGACCATACATACTTAGAGAACAGTATGGGTCCACAAACACGGATCAGAATGAAAGAAAGTAGATTTTCTAGGCTTGGAGAATCTCGTGATAACTTCCTTTTGATTTTAACTATAGGCATATTCTGGAACTGGGGTACTCCAAAGCAATGTCAATCTTGACTATGCATCAGAGTCACCTGTGAGCATTTTTTTAAGTGTCTGGGCTCCATTCTTCACTATTCCTGGCTTACTATTTTAAATATCTTCCACTTGTAATTCAGTGGATATCGAGACTTAGGAATCACCGACCCAAAGGACTAGAACAGCTGGAAAGTTAAGACTGACCAGGGAGTTATCCAAAGTGGTCACCTTTCTTCCATGGTCATCTCCCTCCCTCCTTCCCTCCTTTCCTCCGCTCCCCCCTTCCTTCCTTCCTTCTTTCACTTATAAAATAAACATTTTGGAGTGCCTTACGATGTGGCAGGCTCTGCTCTAAATGCTGGAGACAGCAGTGAACCAAAGAGACAAAGGGCTGCTACATTCTACTCCAGCGAGGCCAGCCAGATGCAAGTAAATAAGAAAATACGTACTGTGCCAGAGGCACTGCCCCCTGCTGGTGGAGCTGTTATTTTGTAAGGTGTGGTGGGGAAAGGCCTTTCTGAGAAGGTGTTATTTGAGCAGAGTTCTGAAGAAGGTGAGCAGGTAGCTTTGCTGGTGTGAGGACTGCGGGTGGAGAAGGCAGTCCAGGCACAGCCGATCTCTTATACCTCTAAGGAGACTTGTTTCTGTTAGAGCAAGCTTTTTGGAGAGACTGTTCTACGCGCTGGTGGAATGCCTTGCAATTTACTGAAGCTGACACTGCAATTCATGTTTGCTTTCGCTTCCAATCAAGTGTTACTGTTTACTATTTACACTTCACAGGCTGTAACAGATGGGCCCCCAGAACATGCTCTCTGACTGAGGAGTGTGTGCACTCTGCTACACTCAAGCTTCTAAGCATCTGGGAGAGCAAAAATAAAAATAATCTCTAATTCTCAATTAGGTCAATTTGGCCTTCTCTTCAGTTCTGTCCGAATTTTAGATTCGAATGTGAGTACATGTCTGCTCCTTATCATGAAAAATCTCATTTCCCTTTATTTCACAGTATGAATGTGTATGTGGCTATAGAAGTCTGTATCTCGGTACGCTGTGTTACTGAAATTTAGAACACAGATGGAAAAAGTTATGTAACCATACAAAGTGCGATCACATCCGGTGTTCCAAACATGCCAGTGACAGGCTGGGCACATCAGTGTTCACAGGGCAGTCTCCACATCATTTAGCCTTCATACCCTTCGTTCAACTGCTTCGCCTCCCTTCTCTGACCAGAATGCCTCTCACTTCACTAGTCGAGCAACACAGATTTAGCGGGTGCCTGTTATTCACACACACAGTGCTGCCCTAGCTCCTGAGGGGTCCAAAAATACTAATAAATTACCCAGCCCAGGTTTCCATGAATTAGGAATATACTCCAGCTGACACAAAGTAATTAACTGAAGTGTAAGGTCTTACCTAATGAGTTGGAAAGAGAAAGTAAAGTGAAAAGTGCAGAGACAATGGAAGTGGGTGTGATCCGGGAAGACTTCATGGAAGAGAAGAAATCGGAACTGGGGTCTGAAGGATGGGTAGAATTCAGACAGGGCGGGGAAGAGAGGGGAAGAGAAGACCACAACAGAACCAAATGCACAGTATAGAAAACTAATTCATTCAAGCAACACACCTTAGAAGTACTTACAATTTTCAAAGCAGTTATCAATTTTTTCATTATACAGAAAGATACCTTCATCTTAAGTTCAATTGTAAGAAAAGTGCCAAAATAGAGGGGCAGAGAAAGTCCTTGTCTGATATTCTGTAATAATATAAGGAAATAATAACATATACCTAACCTTAATATGTTCAAGCCAGTGAGTAGATTCCAAGTTAGACAACCAGTGAGTCTCCTCAATGTTAGGGTACACAATCTCCTTCAGTTTTCGTAATGATTCTCTCATAACGTGAATATTGTGGATATCCAGAAAAACTAGTTCTGCATTTTGATAGGCATCTTCACTCTCATAACCTCCACCCTTCGCCTGGGGAAAAAAAGCACACACCACAGGAAATCATAAATGAATGTACACCCACTGCATGTAAACATATGTGAAAAAGTGCCATAAAATATCCAATAACATGAAAGATGATACATATTATTTTCTTTTTCTTTTTCTTTAAGATCTTATTTATTTGAGAGAAAGAGAGAGCGACAGAGAGCACGAGCTGGGGTGGGAAGACAGTAGGGACAGAGGGAGAGGGAGAAGCAGACTCCCCACTGAGCAGGGAGCCCGATGCAGGGCTGGATCCTGGAAACCTGGGATCATAACCTGAGCTGAAGGCAGATGCTTAACTGACTGAGCCACCCAGGCACCCCGATGATAAATATTACTGATGAATAGGAAAACTCCATGGGAAAATGTCAATGGCTCAGGACATCTTAACACAGCCACTCCCTACTACACATTCTTCTTTATAAAACAGGAATATACACTCTAACCCTGACTTCCTTATGTGGCTGTTTTAAATTAAATGTGATACCATATATGAAGGTCCTTAACATTTTTAAAGCACTAAATTTTTCCTACCTATATTTCCAGTTCTACCCGAGCATAATTTATTAGAGAAGACTGAAATCACCAGCTCTGTATGCCGGGACGACGTCTAGCTAGTTTCGTACTGGCCCATGCTTCTTCACCTCCCTTCCTCGTCACCTCATTTTAATCTTAATATTTGCAAAATGCTTTGCAATCATAATGACTTGCTTCTATTTCAACCACATAATTATTTCCAAATAAAAAGACGGAACAAGTATAACAGCACAGAATACCATAGCATTCTAAGATAGCCACTGTATAAAAAAATTAAGTGTTCATATGACTCACACCATTGAAAACTACAAAACCCACCAACGCCTAACCAACAACAGATTACCAAAAAACAGAAGGTCTGTTTCTAACACTGACAGTCTGGGAAATAGTTTGGATTCAAGATTGGCACAGCTACAAAGTTAACAGTGTTTCAGTGGGTACCTGTTAAACAAGGATTATTCCTGGAGCATGGGAACTGAACAGGTCAGGGGTAAGAGACACTTTCAGTTCAAATTGGTTGCAACAAATTCTAGAAAGATGGCAGTGGAAACTACACAGGCCAGTCACAGAAACAAACAGAAAATGCTCTGGAATCAGACAGTTGTAGAACTTTGTGAGTATACTAAAAACACTGAAATATATACTTGAAAAGAGTGTGTTTTCTGGTATGTGTATTAGATTTCAAAAAAATTGACATTTAAAAGAAAACAGAACAACTAGACAGTAAAACCAAAAACACACGAATCATTTAAAACAGAAATGGGGACAAAGCATTCTGTGAAACCCCAAAACCACCCACAGCCACAAGATCTAAATGCTGTCAGTTAATGTGTGGGAAGAAGCAGAGGAAGCGATGGATATAAAAGGACTGGAGAACAGGAGAACCATGAGAGAGCCTTACGCTTTTTAGTGTTTGTTCTTCTCGTGTTGGCCTTCATCTTCCAGAACTATAGGGAAGCCCAACAGGTCAATCTAAGAAGTGCAGCTGAAAACCAGGAAGGGTTCCGTCCATTCTAACAGCCCATGAATCTAACGGATCTACAGTAGATCTAAAAGGGCCAAAGCAGTCTAACCTTTCTGAACTCTCCTAACAGACCAGCCAGGGATTGCTTCTGCTAATAAGCACATCATCAAAATTGAGCAGACAGAGTCAACAGAGGCAAAGGAAGAGAAGGTCCAGAGAAATAAGACAAAGGAAAAGAAGTTTCAGGTAAGGGAATGGGGTGGGGGAGGTATTGGGTGGGAGAGACAGGACAGAGCCAGGAAATCCCAGAAAGTAAGACTTCATATTTTTTAATGCTACATGCAAACAATAAAAGAGGCAGCTCAGTGAAATTAGTTCTAACTTCTGGGTACACCTAACTTCTGAGCCATGGCTTCTAACTGAACCAACCACCCTGAAGGTTCAGGAAAACTAATTTCACCTAAAAATGAATAATAGGAAAGGATCAAGGTCAAGTCCCATAGGCGCTATCTTAAAAAGAGAATGAGCAGCATTCATAACATATCCTCTGAAAATGCCTCTCAACACTGAAATCTCTTTTCAAGCAAGCTAAAGACATTAAAAAATAATACCAGGCATGAAAAACAAAATAAATTGGAATTAGAAAACTCAAAAATGAAGTGACAGAACTTGGGAACAAATTAGAAATAAAAGGAAAAAAATCAGGAAGACTAAAGAAGAAGAAACACAAGAGTAAATAATACAGCAGATAACAAGTTAAAAGAAATAGAGAAAAGGAAAATATTTAAAACCAAAATGAAATTAGAAAGACATAAGAAGGAGTCAAGAGAAAGTGACAAATGATGAAGAAAGGTGAAGAAGAGCCAACACAAGAGTCCTGAAGAAGAAAGTCAGAACAAGGAAACAGAATGCTAAGAACAATGATTAAAGAAAACTGCATGTATTTTTTTAAAAAATTGGAAATTACATATTGAAACAGCACACATGCATACCTGAGAATACAGACCCAGAACACACAGCATGGAGACATATTCTGGCAATAACTGTACTTCAAAGGAAAAGAAAAAAGTCCTTTGAACATCCAAGTAAAAAGAGTGACGTAGAAGGTAAAGAAATTTAGTTTATGGTTAGCCTTTGAAGCTTTATGCCAAAAGAAAATAAGCAACATATTTAAGAAACTCAGGAAAATCACATGTAAGCTAAGGATTTTATGTCCAGCCAAACTGACTTTCAAACTTTAATAAAGGACACAAGCTCCTATTAGCATACAAACACTCAGAGTATTGTTCCCACGAATGCTTGCTGACATATTTAGAGAACAACTTCAGATGATGATGATAATAATAATAATAATAATAATAATGTCTAGAAAGTCATCCATATACAAATTGCGTGTGAGCACAAAATATACAGCTATTTGTCGAAGTCAGAGGTAAAAGGGAAACTGTTCAAAAGGGAGAACGTGTTAAGGCTATATCTGCTGACAATGTCAATATAATACAATGTATTTAAAAGTGGGGGAGGATGGGGAGAGCAAGTGAAAAACAATTAACTTTCCAGAAGGTACTGGTGATGGTGGTATTAATATTGTTATTCTGAGATTGGTAGGATAAAGCACACAAGTAATTATGAAACATACATATCATCCCCTGAGTCTTTGAGAACCGGGATTGCTGGTGTGGAAGAAAGGAGATACATATGTAATTTAGAAGAAGCTACATAAAAATTGTTTAGCACTGAATTTAAATTGAAAACACCAGTAGGAACTCTTGAGGTACTTTACCTCTAAAAATATGTAAATATTCCCTAATCCTATTCACTGGAAAGACCTCAAAACAGTACAAATCCAGTAGCAGATATCCTCAGCACCCCAGACGATGGTTTGCAACACCATTTGGTACTAATAGGAATGAGAACTTCTTGGAGAAATAGCTGTTTTGGGCACCTGGGTGGCTCAGTTGGTTAAGTGTTTGCCTTCAGCTCAGGTCATGATCTCAGGGTCCTGGGATACAGCTCCGCATGGGGCTCCCTGCTCAGCAGGGAATCTGCTTTTCCCTCTCCCTCTGCCACTCCCACCTGCTTGTGCTCTCTCTCCCTCTTTATCTCAAATAAAAAAAATAAATAATCTTAAAAAAAAGAAAGAAAGAAAAAAGAAAAGAAAAGAAATAGCTGTTTCAAGGCTGTGGCTAGGCAATGCACAAGACTTTCTGATGGGTCTGGTATATCTCCCTATACCAGATAGCGAAGATTACTACAGTTATATCAAAAGAACTCAGGAGATAACTTGAAAAGCCTCCCTCTGACCAAAGATGAGAAATTTTAACTTCAAAAAAATATTATCTGCGATGGATTAGAAGATGTTGAATATGTTTAAATACATGCATTCATAACGATACTTTAAAAAATCAGTCACCTTCATGGGATGACAGGAAGTAAGCTCATCACTGGGAAAACTGACCTAAATTGCTGGTTAACCAAACTACAGATAAAAGAAAGTGTTTCTTTACAGAAAGAGTTCAACCAATAACTGAAAGAGAAATCATGAAATTAAAACACCACCATTTTGGAGTTAATGTATCTAGGCACTGAGCATTAACAGCTGCTAACACCCCAAAAAAGAGAATCAGCCACAAATGATGTGCCTCCTGATATGTTCCCTATAGCCTTGCCAAAGGTATCGAACCTGGATCTGAATAAACCTCTAAATTCATGTGGAAGAAATTCAAAGGACAGAAAAAAGTTGAACCATACCATGCATGCAACAGCAAAACTTGGGACTATGGAAAACTCTACAGATAAAAGGTCAAGAAAAGAAAGTGAAAGGCAAGGGGAAGATTACAGATTAAGAGAGACTTAAAACACAATATTTAAAAAAACAAGGCTAAACTTGAGTCTAGGGATATATACTTCAGTAATGAAATATAAAGAAATGCAACAAGATGACTATTATAAAAGTTAGGATAGCGGTTACTTTTAGTACAGTCAGAAGGCTGAAGCAGGGCATCCATGGAAGACTTAGTGGCCGGCAAAGTTTTAATTCTTGACATGGGTCATGACTGCAAAAGGATTTGTCATATTCAAATTGATTAGGTTATAAAAAAGGTTGAGAGTTCAGGTTACAAGTATTTGTTGCAACAAGGATGTACATTTTTGCAAATTAAAAAGCCAGGGGGTAGGTGTGGAGATTGGGTGAAGGTAGTCAAAAGGTACAAACTTCCACTTAAAAGATAAGTTCTGATGACTACTGTTAACCATACTATATTATATATTTGAAAGTTGCTAAGAAAACAGACCTTACAAATTCTCATCACAAGGAAAAAGAAATTTGTGATTATATGAGACGATGGATGTTAACTAAACTTATTGTGGTGATCATTTCATAATATATACACATATCAAATCATTATATTGTACACCTCAAAATTATGCAATGTTCTACATCAATTATATCTCAATAAAACCAGAGGGAAAGACATCAGGCTGGTAA